AGGATGCCATTGTGCAAGCTGCAAGGGGCCTGGTCAGCAGGCCTAGGCCTGGTCAGCAAGGTCATGCCTGTACCTTGCATGCCATTTGACACAGAATAGGACACAGATTTTAATTACCTTTTCTTTCTCACTGATACATTCCATTTATGTAGTGGATCGTTATTGAGCTCACATTATGTGTTCCACACAGTTCTAGTAATCTTCATTCACTGAAATTTAAGTACAGTTTAACCTTCAAAGCACATGCAAAGGGTTTTCCTTTTGTCTTTCGTTGTTGTTTTATCTCTCTCACTCTTCAATCAACTATGTATGCATCTTGAATAGGAAAAGAACAACAATATCTTAACTGTTAAAGGTAATGTTTTTTAAAAAACACTATACCTTTAACAAAAAAATAATGATACAAAGTCACCCTAAAAGGTCTTCCCTAAAATAGTAATTTCTAAGGCAAAATAATCATTCTGTGTGGTAATGGCAAAATTAGCAAATGTTAATATGAAAGAAATTAGAAGAAGTGAACTTTGTCATTCAAGAAAATGACGTTATTAAAAATTGCTGCCGGGCTCAGTGGCTCAGCCTGTAATCCCGCACCTTTGGGAGGCTGAGGTGAGTGGATTGCCTGAGCCCATGGGTTCGAGACCTGCCTGGGCAGGTGAGACCTCATCTCTACAATAAATAAAAAAATCAGCCAGGCGTGGTAGTGCGTGCCTGTAATTCCGGCTACTCGAAAGGCTGAGGCGGAAGGATCGCCGGAACCCAACAGGTTGAGGCTGCGGTGGCCGGGAGCGGCCACTGCACTCCAGTCTGGGCCACCCAGTGAGACTCCAACTCAAAAAAACAAAATTGTTGACAGAGATGCTATAGGTGACCCAATCTGTGAAATCTTCAGTCATCTCATGGAATGAAGTGCTATCATTGATGTTGAAAAAGCTAAAAACTAACAGTAGAGTGACATCTGGATTCTAAAGTTCCAAATCATCAGTCTTTTTCTTCTTTTCAGTAGAAGCCAGAGATTCCATATCCACCATAGCACAGTGGGCGGCAGCAGCCATATCTGTAGTCTCCACAGACACAGCCATATCTCAAGCCATAGCCATAACCCGGGCTTCCATAGCTGTAGCCAAGGCCACCATGATAGTTGCTGTAGTCGTAGCTCATGGTGCCAGAAATTGAGGATTTTGTTCATTGATGAGGCTGTGTTTCTCAAGTATGAATGCCACCATCTTCCCGGGGACTCTAATATACCTCTGAAAAGGGTGTGGTAACAGAAACAGACTTGAATAATCCTCATTCTATGACCTCAGTGACAAGAAAGACAATCTCAGACCATTTGTCCAGATTCCAACGAGATGCACTGTGTCAATTTGAACAATGAATACTGCATCTTCAAAGACTGCACACGAGGCAACTGCCATTTATAAAATCCCCTGCCCAGGTATCACAGCATCTCATCGACATTCAAAATAATGGATGCAGCCGGGCTCGGTGGCTCAGCCTGTAATCCCGTGCCTTTGGGAGGCTGAGGTGAGTGGATTGCCTGAGCCCCCGGGTTTGAAACCC